TATAGAATTGTGGATCTCTAGTGGAATCCCTCTCATAGCATAGGCTACATTAGTGTCTTTTAGTCTGGAATCCTGGGTAGCAGCTAGTCCGGTTTATTTCTTTTGCCTTCTACGCTCACTAGCCGTTGCTACTTTAGAGGATACTTTGTATCCATAGATCAGCATTTAGGGCTAACATTTGGCAATTGCTATACTTTGTAACACAGGATAGCTGCTACTTAGATTGCTCCATTACTTAGGGGAGACATAGCTCATTGCTGTGTACTAAGATTGTTTCTGTTGTGATATTTTTACTTTCACCTCTCCTTCCTCACCTAGATTCTTTACTCTTTCCATTTCTCTTTAGTGTGTGTTAGGTTTTTGTTAAGTTTTATTTTTTGGGGAATTTATACCCTATAATAAAGAGGATTTTTACTTTATTTTATTTTCATATGTAATTGCAATACCCAGAGAACTCTTTCTGTGTTCCTGTGGCTTTTTGGCCAGGGATCATCTTTAGTATTTTATATATCTCTGAGGGTTACCCCCTTATAGGGTTCTCTTGACACACCGTGGATTCCATTCTTTTGGAAAATCCATGTTCTTGCTTTGTTCAGTCTACTTGTGTGTTTAGCTCCGGGGTAGGAGTGCACTTAAATATTGTCTCTAGGGTGCGGAGCTCAGCCAGAGTGTGTTCCAGACGTTTAAGACGTTGCTTTTTGTTGTGTGAAGCTAAGCTAATCAAAGTGCACCTGAGGACCATTTTGTGGGAGTCTATAGTCAGATTGAAGTAGTCTGCGATGGCTTGGGAGGTAGATTCCCGGATTGATGGATCATGCAGTAGTATAGGGTTGAGGTGCAAGGGCCAGGTTTTTGCCAGGTTAGGTAACTTGATCTGCATGGAGATGTCGGCGTGGTCTGACCAGGTTATAGAGCCTATGGAAGTGGTTTTAAGAGGGGGAAATTAAAAATAAGTCTATAGGAGAGTGGGAGTGGTGGGGGTGTGAATAGAAAGTGTAATCTAGCAAAGTAGGGTGTAGAGATCTCCAAGCATCTATCAGATGCGTGATAGATGCAATGTTTTGGAGGAGTTTATCCGCTTTAGCCGTGGGGGGTTCACAAGGTGGCTGCATGTGGACCCTGTGCCTATCTGTGGCGGGGGATAGGGTGGAGTTGTAATCTCCGCCTACAACCAGGCAGTGTGAGGCAAAGAGCAGAAGGTAGGCTTGTATGGCCTGCCAGAAAGATCTTGATGGGGTGTTGGGTGCATAGATGGAGGGGATGGCATATTTTGTGGGCCCAATCCTGCCCGCTATGGTTAAATAGTGGCCCTGAGGGTCTGATACAGTTCTGTCTACAGCCAGGGGGCATGATTTGTGGAACATGATTGCCACTCCGTTTTGTTTGCCGCTCTGTGAATTGGCTAAGAAGTATTTATTATAATGTCGACTCAGGAGAGGGAATGGTCTTGGGTAAAGTGGATTTATGGAGCAGTATAATTTGTGCCCTAGTTATATTTCCCCATCGACGCATTTGGTGTCTCTTAGAGTGATTTTTTAGCCCCTTACAATTGATTGATACGCAGAGCAGGGATGCCGACATGCCGGGTGGTATGTTCCCTTGGGGGTGGACCGTGGCCATCTGTGTCAAATCTGTGGCAAAGGGCCCAGTGCGCTCCTTCAATAGTGAGATTGTGTTCCGAGGCATCAGGCAAAAGGGCCAGAATAATTCCTTGGTAATAGGGCATCCGGCGCGACGGTTTCAGGTAAGCCCCGAATCCTTATGTTGTGCCTGCGTGATCTATTATTTAAGTCCTCCAACCCACCTTCTAGCTGCAGGATCTAGTCTTGCATGGCATATATCTCTTGTTGTTGGGCCTTTGTAGTGTGAGTGAGGCCTGTAATGCGGGTTTCAGCTTGACAGGTGCAAGTGGAGAGGGCTTCAATGTCACCTCTCAGGCCTGCAATGTGCTTTTCTAGCTCGGAGGCCGTGTAAGCCTTCATGGCAGCTGAGGTTTCTTTCAGCAATCTTTGCAGGTCCCACCTGGTTAATGAAGCTGCAGGGTCGATAGGTGCTTCACTGTCCTCACTGTCGGAGCTCATGTCAGGTAGGCCGCGGGGGGGAGATTTCGCAACCTGCTCCCAGTTGCGAAAGAGCGTGGCTACCGATGGGATATGCTCTTGCGCTTTTTGGTGCCTCCCATGGTGCAGGGATGAAGGGTCGACTTTGTCTTGTTGGGGTAGGTATGTTTTAGTGCTGAAGTTAGCAAATTCAAAACTCAGGGGAGAGGGAGCTCAGATCTCACACGTCTGCTACCATTGCTGGCTCGGCTCCCACATTTTGATTTTAATTTTTTTTCTAATTCAAGCATGGGTAAACTGCATTCTTTAGACATTATAGGTCCTTAGCCATTGCTATAGAGCTACAGTTTTATTAAAATGTCTCCTCAAATCCGTAGGGTTAATATTACCATGGATCATTTTTTTATATTCATGTACATTGTATATTTAATTCTCAAAGCTTTTCTTTATTATTATTTTTTATTTATATATATTTAGATTTATTTTTAACTTTATTTTTTCTCTGTATCCTTATTCTCACTTTGTGATTCATCTACATTTTGCATCTATACAAGTTATACTGAGTATATTTCTTTAAATGTTGTGTATTGTTGCTTCTTGCCACATTGATACATCTCTGTAAGGTAGTCTAAACCTTGCTGCAATATTATATCAAAGGAAAGTCTAGAAATCATATTAGTATACCTAGATAGATACATATTGTATCATAAATATATTCAGGCATATTTCCGTAATATATCTGCTGATCAGTAGTCTAAATATTATCACTCTCAGCCTGCTTTTATTTTAACTATATAGACACATTTGCTGAACTATATTTGATAAATATGTTGTTTTTGGGGGTTTTTTTGTGTATGGTGTACAATAGGAACTTCCACACAGCACCAATATACACTCAGTCTCTTTAAATCCCATAAGCAATTTGTGTCATTACGGCACTGATAACAGCAGTAAAGTGTCATTCCATTACAATATAATAATAGCCTGCCAGCCTTGCTTTTATTATAAGGGCATTCCATTTATTGTTAATAACCCCCTTTTCTACTTGTAACATGACATTAATGCACAGGATTCCTTACCTTCACTCTCAGCCTGCTAGCGACTTACTTCTAATATGAGGGTATTCCCTTAAAGGACCACTCTAGGCACCCAGACCACTTCAGCTTAATGAAGTGGTCTGGGTGCCAGGTCCAGCTAGGGTTAACCCATTTTACATAAACATAGCAGTTTCAGAGAAACTGCTATGTTTATGAATGGGTTAAGCCTTCCCCTATTTCCTCTAGTGGCTGTCTCATTGACAGCCACTAGAGGCGCTTGCGTGCTTCTCACTGTGATTTTCACAGTGAGAGCACGCCAGCGTCCATAGTAAAGCATTATGAATGCTTTCTTATGTGACCGGCTGAATGCGCGCGCAGCTCTTGCTCTAGGTACACCACTGGTTACCATAGTTACAGGCTGGAACGCAAGCAGCAAGTAACAGTTCATGAATTCATTCAGTACATCCAAAGACAAACCAGGGACACTGGAAAAATTTTCAAATGACCTGGGTGCCCAAGGGTATGTACTTTGTTTTAATGGCCATGGTATTAATACAAGGTATGGTATAAATGGCATGACTGTCCTGATGAATATTTCGTTAGGAAATTGAAACGTTGATGATTATTTTAACCAAACTGCAAAAAGCTAAGTCTTTACAAAGTCCTTGCAGTGGTATCATGTATTGATTTTCTGGAGGTCTTTCCGAAAGTATCCAGCCATGTAATATGAAAAATGCTGTCTTTATTTTTTTTTAAAATGCAGTTTTACCTTGCCATTCCTCTAGAATGTAAGCTCATTGAGCAGGGTCCTCCACCTCTATGTTCCAGTACATCCAGTTGTCTGGTTACAATTACATGTCTTTTAGTCCACCCATTGTTCAGCGCTACGGAATCTGATGGCGCTATATAAATAATAATAATAATAAAAAAAAAAATAATATATACTATTGTGAAATATGCGTTGCAGCATGTTTGTTAACTTACCGTATATACTCGAGTATAAGCCAACCTGAATATAAGCCGAGGTACCTAATTTTACCACAAAAAACTGGGAAAACTTATTGACTCGGGTATAAGCTTTGTGTAGGAAATGCAGCAGCTACTGGTAAATTTAAAAATAAAAATAGATCCCAATAAAATTACATTAATTGAGGCATCAGTAGGTTAAATGTTTTTGAATATTTATTTACAGTATGTGTAGATAATGAATGCAGTGTGTTTGTGTAGTGTGTGTATACAATGAATGCAGAGTGTGTGTGTTTGTGTAGTGTGTATATAATGAATGCAGTGTGTGTGTATATAATGAATGCAGTGTGTGTATTGTGTGTGTATATAATGAATGCAGTGTGTGTGTTTGTGAATGCAGTGTGTATGTGTATATAATGAATGCAGTGTGTGCAGGGCCGGTGCAAGGATTTTTGCCGCCCTAGGCAAAAGAAAGATTTGCCGCCTCCCCCCACCAGGGACATCGCAATGCCCCAGCCATATGATC